TTAAAAGCAGGAACTTTCCCCTTCAGTTATACAATGAAGACAGGAAGTCAAATGCATGATTGTTAAAGAAGGCCTCATCGATGACTTCCTCCTGATCAGGTGGCCTGTAGTAAACCCCCACAACAATGTCACCCATGTTACCCTGCCCTTTAATCCTTACCCATAGGCTCTCAACTTGCTCTTCATCCACCCCGAGGCAAAGCTCCACACATTCTAGTTGCTCCCTCACATGAAGGGCAACTCCACCACCTCACCTTCCTGGCCTGTCTTTCCTAAAAGGCACGTAGCCATCCATGACAGCATCCCAGTCATGTGAGCTCTCCCACCATGTCTCTGTAACTGGAACGAGATCACGGCCCTGTGACTGCACACAGATCTCTAACTCTTCCTGTTTATTCCCTATGCTGTGTGCATTGGCGTACAGGCATTTCAGAGAGCCAGTCAAGCACGCAGGCCTCCCAGGAGAGGTGCAAGAGGATCCTCCATAGCCATGTCCCATGCTGTCTCCCCTGGCTGTATGCACCCGCTGGAGGCATCCTGACTTGAGCGGTGTTTTACTGACTCCCCTGCCACTATACCACTCCCCTTCCCCCATCTTGCCTAGTTTAAAGCCCTCCTTACCAGGCTGGCCAATCTGTTGGCAAAGACGCGCGTGCCCCGCTTGGTAAGGTGGATCCCATCGCTCCCCATCAGCTGTTGATCTTCAAACAGGGTCCCATGGTCATAGAAAACAAAGCCCTGCTGCCAACACCAGCGGCGCAGCCAGCTGTTAACTTGGAAAACTCGTCTACTCCTCCTCCAGTCCTTTCCCCTCACAGGCAAGATTGAGGAGAAAACGACCTGGGCTCCCAGACCCTTGACCACCATTCCCAGAGCTCTGAAGTCCTGTTTGATGGTTTCCAGTTTGCCTTTTGTGTCGTTAGCGCCCACATGGAAGAGCAGCAGAGGGTAGTAGTCCAATGCATGGACGAGCCTTGGCAGTCTTTCCACAACATCTCTTCTTTGAGTCCCTTGCAGGCAGCAAACCTCTCTGGACAAGAGGTCAGGTCGGCAGATAGGTGCCTCTGTCCCCTGCAGCAGGGAGTCACCCACAACAATCACTTGCCGCTTCTTCCGGGGGTTCCTGCACAGCACAGGTTCTGCCAGGCCAGTTGCCTCCCTTGGAGCCATGCCCAGCTCCTCCTCAGCTTGGAGGGCGCTAAACTTGTTCTTCAAGGGTAAGTCTTGAGGACGAGCAAGAGCCTTCTCCTTCTACGAGAGGTCACCAGCTTCCAGACTTCTTCAACAGCGTTACAATGTACCGTTTCACATGGTGCTGAGCCCTCTGACACCTCCGCTGCAGTGGGGGCTGGGGACTCCTGGAGCTGAACAGTCTCCGAGAATACCCTGACAATCTCCTGCTCATCTTCTCGGATGCTACGCAGCCTACTAACTTCCTCCTGTAACTCCCTTATGTGGTGACGCAACTGGTCAACCACAGCTCACCTCACACAGGAGAGCTGACTGTCAGCCCAGGCCCCACAGAGAGGCCCCAGGCACTCCCCGCAGCCTGACACCTATAGAGCTGCATCTGCTGTCAGAGGGCCTGTCTGGGTTGAAGCCTCAGACACAGCTGATGCAGCACCTCCAGCAGCCACTGGGCAATGTGCTCTGCGGCGTGTCATGACCATGCCTGGGGAAGGACACACCATTACAGAAAATGAAGGTGCCTTCTGGTGCCCTTCTGCACAAACTGCTGCCTCTGTTGGCTGCACTCTGGGAGCTGGGCTCTAGGCCTGGCTCTTGTATAGGCCTCTGCCTAGCAGTGACTCACAAGGGTGCTTGACCCACCCAATCAGGAGCCACCTGAAACAAAAGCCCCAACTCCCTCTGACCAGGGCAGCCCAGAGAGCTCGTTAGCAGCAGCCCCACCTAGCTAGAACTTCCCAGGAGAAGTGAAGTCAAGGCCCCCTGCAGGAGTCCTTGCCCAGCTCTCCCTTCCTGCTAGCAGCAAGCACCGTCTAGTTCCTCGGGGGTCCCCAGAAAGTCTCCACAACTTCCAACAAGGCCCACAAAAGGCCCAGGCAGAGCCCAGACACTGCTGCGCAAACTGCTGCGTCTGTTCGCTGCCTCTGTTGGCTGCGCTCTGGGAGCTGCGCTCTAGGCCTGGCTTTCTTCAACATGATGCTTTCTACAGAAATAAACACATGCTGAGAGAGAAGGAGAGGTTTTTTGAGATATAGAGATTTATGAACTTGCAGCCTTGGAGACAAGCCAACATCATAAATATTTGTTTTAAAATACATTTTTCAGCAGACTCTTTCTTAAATTGTTGTTAGGCTTTTGCTTGGGTTACAGAGATGCTGCACATCAAACCTGTGAAGGGCTTTCAGTGCAGTTCTCAAAGCAGAATACTGAAAAATCGCTTTGCATAAGAGCCCAGAGTCAGCAAGAAATCTAGACTTTTGTGATAACAACTCAGTTTAGAGATGACTAAATCTACTCACACTGTAAAGGCAGCTTCCTCAAAACATTAACAAAGCCCACTATCATGAAATGCTACGCTCACGGTATCAGTCTGATTCCTTCATAGTTATTGAGGGAACTTGTTAAAAAAAAAGGTAGAATGGGCAGCAAAGAGAAATAAAACCCTACAGGTGGCATGGAGAGTATTAGAAGCAAAAAGGCATCTATCAGAGACCTGAAGTGATGTCCGAATGAAAAAAGCAGAAAGGATCATAAAGTTTCGTGGTTTGAATGTCAAAACACAGTAAGGATGACCAGAAAAAGTTTTAAGAAAAATTAGCAGTACATTCTTCAAACACATGAGGAGCAGAAAGCCTGACAAGAGTCTGTAGGGCCGGTTGATGGTCACAGGATAACAAGAGAGAGTAAGAAAATAAGAAGCAAGAGAAAGACAGAGAATAAAGTGCTAGAAGAGAAAGTAGATTAATTCTTTGTGTGTGTTCACCGTATAAGAAATTGGTAGAGACTCAAGCGATAACTCTTCTCTCTGGGTAATCTATCTAAAATCAGAAGTGCCAGTGAAAGAGGTTATTGGATAGCTAAATAATTGAAGTGTTAGCCAGCATGCAGAACCACATGCATTTGGCCGAGGATCTACCAGCTTGCCCTATTCTTATACCTTCCCAAGGTGTTAAACTGTTGGTTTGAGATTTAGCTGAAGGTTTGAGGCTTATTTTATCTCAATGTATTCATCCATGTTTAAATTAAATGCCTGGTCTGCTGCTTCCTTTCTTTTATGTTTTGTCTCTGTTACAGAGTTACAGATGCAAGAAGTCTGGACTCAGAGACTTAAGTGTTTTATCTTGTTTATGTGCCTCTTTTGGTATATCCATCTATGTCAGAGGTTTGTCATATTACTTGCTTCTGCTCCCCTAGGAATGTGCAACAGAGTTTCTTGTGTTTCTTAAAGTCTGTGATGAGCAAAAAGGTAACCATAAATAGCTCTCTGTATCTCATCACTGTTATGTCCCGTCAGCGGATTCTCAGTCCCTTCCATCATGCTGAGGTCTTTTCATTTTTGAAAATAATTTTTTTGTCTTCGTTTTCTTTTATCAAAACATTCCATCAAAAATTTTAATTCTTCTCTTCTTTGTCACACTTACTCTATGTCATTTTATCATCAGCAATACTGGGCCACATCCACCATACACACAGACATCTTACATTTTCTTTGATCTATTAAATATTATTTGGCTTTCTGTATTTGTGGAGGTTTTTGTTTTAGTTTTTTTTTTCCAGTCAGCATTAGTTGTGCATTTTTTACATGCTTCGGTTAATAATCCATAAAATAGCTCTTGTCTTTTTAGCCACTCTAGCTAAAAACAATAATGATCAGTATGATCAGTAATTTTTCACTCTTTCTATCAAATGATATATAACTTTAAATTATAAAACAGTTCTTAAAAAAGAAAGAAGCATTAAAAACTCCCATATCTTCCAGCAGTAAAAATTTATCTAATATTCTGTTTTCCAAGAGACTACATTTAATTCTGAAATGTGTGTTTTGTATATCATAATCATATAGCCACTACAAGTTGTGTGTAATATTCCAGAAATATTATGGAATAATGATAGAATATTGAGGATTGTGTCTGAACATTTTTGGATTTATTCTATATGTGTAAATAATAAATTATTACTTTAAAATTACTAATTTTTAAAAACCTTTTGCATTTAAAGGATATTCTAATTACAGGAATCAAAATATCATTTTATGATTTAATGAGGAAATTTTTAAATGCAGAAGAACAAAATCTGAGGTTTCTTCATTTTAATATCATAAATATTTGTCAATTTACTTTCGTACATTACATCCTTCCACTCTTTTCTTTCCAGATGTATTTGTTTTGCATTATACACATCTTCTATACCATTGCTGCTATTCTGGATGAAGACTTAGGATGCTGGAATGCAGCTAACCATATTTTTTTAACCTTAGTCACTGCAATGATTTGTTTCAGATATTTCCTACTTTTACCAATATGATAATATCTCAGTAATGCTTAATATTTAGCTTTATTTGTATTATAACTCTAGGAAGAGCTTTATTATCATTAGCATACTTGCAAGACTTAGGGAATAAGGGATTTGATTCCTGGCTCCCATATAGATTCCTTAAAAGATTGTGCACAAGTCTTGTTATTGCTTCGTGTGCACCATGTTCTTGTTCTGCAGCATGAGTTTTATGAAGTCTGTTTTCAGCTCCTCTCTGCCTGCTTTGTGTACTTTGGCTGCAGTGCCTTTACAGTGGAGGCCTCATTTTGCTGAATACATTGCATATAATGATGGCTTGGTTGTTCTTGTGGGACAGTTGTCTTAACTGCTATGAAACAAATACCTCATCTTGTCCTCTGTCTCCTCATGCCCCTTTCCTAGACTTCTGTCTGGGATGTTGATGACATATTAGAAATATTTTATTTCCTTTTCATACTTTAAAGCTCATTTGGTGCTGTTATGTTCAGAGACAAAGCAAAATGTCTCTTTCCTCATTTCAGCTGCTGTATGTGACTTTGAAACAAACAACTGTGGTTGGCTTGAAACTGTAAATGAAGACGAATTTGACTGGATAAGAAATTCCAGTAGTGCTCTTCCACCTGCTTTTCAGACGCAAGCTCCTCAGCAGGATCACACCTACAACAGGTCTGAAGGTAAGACAAATCAGGCCTAGAAACAAAGTGGCATAGATATAGCTTCCCTTCAGTCAGATTTCAAGAGGAGGCCATGAACCCTTTCGAAGCTTTTAGAAATGCTTCTTTCTTCAGCTTGAAAGGTTATTTTTTGTGTTTTATTTCAATAGGTCATTTTATGTTCATTCTGAAAAACAGTAGCAACATTGCACAAGTTGCTCAGCTTCGAAGCCCAAGGTTCAGCCAAACTGGATCAAGTTGCACAGTGTCTTTCTGGTATGATAACAGTTTTAAACTTATTAATCATCTCACAGTGCTTCTCTTGGAATTTTGCAGCAGTACACACCATGCTCCGCAGTATTGCCACCTTTTATTCTTTAATCATACAGTGTCCGTTATGACTAGTAAGCTATAGCATTTAGAAGGCAGAACTGAAACATGGGACTGTGTTGTTGCCACACTTTGGGTAAAAATACATTAAAGGATTGTGTCTACGTTTACACAGAGAAATACCACAGTCATTTTGATAACATTTCTACTTTGGATAATTCAGTTTGAAAATGTTAAGGAATTTTGTTCTAGACTAGAAAACCATTCAAAAATCTAATACTAGATTCATTGAGTCTTCTTTGATATCCCAAAATTAGTTTGTGCCTTCTTTAAGTGAAAGCTATGTTGCAAGAATTGGAGCCTTGCTTCCCATCCTTTCCTTACACACATAGAAAAAATCCTTTCAGTTACAGCCAGGACTACATAGAGACTCTGAAGAGACAAAGAGGGACAGAAAAAATAAACCGTAATTTTTATACTGAGGTCGAAGGTGATACTACTGCTTAAATCCATTTGGACTAGCTTTAGTATTATTCAGTGTAGTGTTTCCGAGTAGTGCATTTGCCATAGAAAGAGGAAATACCTTTTTGTCAAAGATTCATGACTTGAAATGGGAGGGACGATAAACTTGTTATTTGATGGAGTACAAGTCTGGAAATTGCAAATTGTTGGTTCTGTTCCTGTTATGTTCCCAGTTAGGTTATACGATTGCTGTTCAACCTTTTTACTCTCTACCTCTTTATTTCCAAAAAATGAAATCATATATGGCATTATTAAGCTCACTTATGCATTTATGATTTTGAAATGCTTTGAGATCCTAACTGCCACAGATTGAGGAGGTGCTTTTACATTCAATAAGTGTGCTGTTTTTCTTTCTTGAAACTTCACAATTAGGTACTGAATTAAATTTATAAAAGACATATTAAGCATCCGAGTGAGCAGTGAGCTCACTTTGAGCCTAATGGGAAAGCAAATGTCTCTCTCCAGTTATGGATTAGAATTTAATGAATCTCTTATAATCTTAAATTCTTGAAATGAGCTTTCAACTCATACACTAGCCTGCCCTGCTATCGGTATCAGTGTACAGAATGTGGATAGGCAGTGTAGTCTTTCTATATTTCTCAGAGCTATAACAGAAAAGATATTGGTCCTGTATACTTGATATGGTCCATTCTCTTCATTTGCACCCTTAACTTTGTTATCATTTTAGGTATTACAATTATGGACAGTCAGTTGGAGCAGCAGAGATGCAATTGCTTGTGGATGGGCTGAAAGAGCCTACTGTGCTTTGGAGGATATATTACAACCAGGGAAATCAATGGTTGAAGGCATTCATTCAGCTTGGACGGCTTCCACATCCTTTCCAATTATCGCTTGATAAAATAAGTTTAGGTTTTTATGATGGCATCTCAGCAATTGATGATATTATGTTTGAAAATTGTGCTCTTCCACCTCCAGCAATAAGCTGTGAGGGTCCTGGCCATTTCTGGTGCAGAGACACAAAAGCATGTATTGATAGTTTATTGGTGTGTGATCTCGTGGATAACTGCGGGGATGGATCAGATGAAGACAACTGTAGTGAGTACTTTGTTATTCCTTGCTTTATATCGAAACCAAAGTTGCTTGCCAAGTTCATCCCTGACATAAACAAGCACAGTGCTGTTACAGCCTATCAATGTGACAGCCAATGATGATGCAACTGAATATAGATACTGATGAAATAGATTCTGAAAATTATTCTTGATGTAAATGCATATGATGAGTTACAGATGAATTTGAGGGTAAATGTAATTCATTTCCTTTATTAAAACTAGTTATATTTCTTCAACTTTTGTAAAATAAACCCATGTATTACAAGTTCATTCTCAAAGGGATAATTCATAGTCTGCCAATAGATTTTGGTTAATGTGCTGACTTTGATTACACTGATGGGAGTAGAACCAAAGGTATATATGAACTGACAGGAGTGTATATCCAATCTATATATATAATTATCTACCTAAAAAATATTTAAATGTCTGTATCACTAGAAGATACTAGTCTTGCTGGGCATAATTATTCCTTTCCAAGAAAGAACTCATAGGAATTGAACAAAGCTATGGGTCATTCACATTCTTGACAATCACTTTGCAGTGCAGAAGGGCGTTGTTGATGGTTTTTTTCCTTCAAGCATGCATTCATCAATTTTAAGAATTCAGGAACATTAATATAAAACAAAATTAATAACTAGCAAATGCTTTATCACATCCTGAGGTAACTAAATTATGCAAATCACAATGAGTTGCAAAAACAGGGGACACCTTACACACTTGAAGGGAATTGTACTGGTGTCAGCTGAGTAATAACTTAAACCTAATATGAATTAAAAGTAAAGCACAAACTTTCTAGTCTGTCTCAGTTTTCCCAGTTGTAATAGGAAGTAACGCTTATCTTTTTTATTATTCATTTTGAGATCTAGGGTTAGAAAGTACTATATAGGTCTTCTATGGTTTTGCAGTTCGAAACATCATAACAAATAACGGTTTCACTAAGAGAAGAAGTAGAATTGACCATTATGTCAGTTAGTCACTGTTTATGGAAGAGAGTTGCAAATACTGAACCCAAGTTCTCCATCTCTGACACTCATTTTATTTTTTTGCATCCGAAGTAATTGGTGTAATCAACATATTTTGGCTTGATATTAAGTAGAGTAAAAGTGCATTATATAAATGTCCCTCGAATTTAGCTCTGAGCAAGCTGTTACATTAGTACAATAAGGACATAGAAATAAACTTAAAATTTGATTTTAGTTATCGTGCAAAAACATGTTAAGTCACTTATTATGGCTACCACAAGACTAATTCCTTTGGTTTATTTCATCGAGGCTACTGCAGTTTTAACTTCTTTATTCATTTAAATGTCAGTTAAGGGACTTTGCATGCTTTAATTATAAAAATATACACATTTATGTAATAACATGATTAGTATAACATTCTTCACAGTTCTATTTATTCAATAAGTTAATTATGCGCAGTTTGCCAGATGTACATTAGAAGAGGTACTAGTTAACTAAAGATTTTTTTTTTTGTCCAGGCAGTGTAAATCTATTCTTCAAAGGGAATTTTTTGCAAGGGGAAAAAGAAAATGTTTTTTTTCCCCCTCTATATTAGAAAGAAAGTGAATGAAAAATACATTAAAGTAGTATCAATGTTTGGTAGTGCTTTCATTTGACAATCCATTCTGTTCACATGTTTCAGACCCTGACCTACAGTGCAACTTTGAAAATGGGCTGTGCAATTGGGAGCAGGACGTAGAGGATGACTTTGACTGGATCAGAAAACAGGGTCCCACCCCCACGTTTAATACAGGCCCGTTAAAGGATCACACAACAGGCACGGTCAAGGGACACTACCTCTACATGGAATCCTCAGGACCTTATGTATTCCAAAATAAAGCAGTTTTGCTTAGTCCTGTCTTCAACCCCTATGGCAACGAAACCTGCATTTTCCGCTTTCATTATCATATGTTTGGAAAGCAAGTTTATAAGCTGTCAGTCTTCCAGAGAACTGTGAGTAACACCAGAGGACAGCTGCTGTGGTACAAGTTTGGAGATCAAGGCAACAGATGGATAAGACAGACACTCCACATCAACAGCTCCAAACCGTTTCAGGTATGACCCTTCTAGATTATGATATACTCACTTCCTGCATCATCAAAGACTGTACAATCTAAAAGGTATTAGTAATTATCTGATTAAATTGACTTTGAAACACATTTGTAGTATTTTGACTAAGGATGTTCCAAATATTTAGTTTTTCTGGAAGCTGCTTTTCCCTTTAAAAAGAGGTGATTATCTTTTGAATATGAACCTGTGGTACATAAAGTAGGTGTTATTTTTATTTTTCTAGCATTCAGCACAACAAATTTTTCTGTGAACCTGCTATAGAACAGCTTGGCAAAAATTTTGATTCATTCAAAAGAAAAGACTATTAAGAAGACTCATTTTCTATGCCCGACTCTTCCAGATTTACACATTAATCTTTAATTACATAAAGCCAGAAAAAGTGTCAATTCAAAATACTTGATTCCAGTCTAAAGTCAACAATCAAATATCATTTTTGGAAATAAATATGACTGTAAAAATATAACTATCTTTATATGTGTGCAAATAAAAGTATCACTCCTTTTTCTCATTTTCAATATTAATTTGGCCTAGACCTGTAGTATATCTCAGTAGCTGCGTGTTGATGTCAGTGACGTTTACTGTGTTGAAAGTAGTGTGAAGTCTTGATTTCTTGTCCTTTTGACTAAATAGGTAACATAGTTGAGAGTAATGCGAAATTCAGCTTCCTCTACTAAACTCTCATTTATGTCAGTCTTAAGAGTAATTTAGATCCATTGTTTTCTGTAGGGTTACTAATGCTAGATACTTATATGGAAGCCAAAAACAAGTCTAAAATATGTCAAGAGTTCAGCTAGATGAACAAAATTCTTTTAATTAAAGTTTCAATTTTTATTTTAATGATCTTTTAGTAAGGAAGTTTCGCAAGCATATATATGTTTAAGATTAATTTGTGTGGTAGGAGGTAAAGGGCATTCAGGCAAAAACTAGTTTTGACACTGTACTATGGTCTGTTCTAGCATAATATGAGCTCTGCAGTTTTATTATTATTTTTTTAACATTGTAAGGAAACATATCCTTTGTCTAGTAGTTTATCTAAAGAATTATAAAATCAATTTTGATACATGGCCTGTTTAGGGTTAAGAAGGTTTGTTAAGTAACTCAAAACTGTTTATACTGCCTAAGTATTATAGGGCTCTCTGTTGTACTTGTCCAGTTCTGTTCGGGGCATGCGAAGATTTTATACTCTTGTGACGTACTTTTGTTTTTCATAGTCATTTTTGAGTGGCATGAAGTGTGAAGTATTGTTTAACAGTTTGTTTTGAAATAGGAGATCAAGACCTGATGTTCGGTCTGGTGTGTTCTGTTTTTCATGATGGAGTTTGCTTTGTGACTGCCTACTACCCTTCAAAACTAAGAAATTTTGAAAAAAATGAAAGAATTTCTGTTGCTAATAAGTTGTCAAGTGCTAATGTCTTTCTAATCTTCCTCTTAAGTGCAGAGTGTTGGGGTCCTTCCAGAACTAGATGTGGGGGATGGGGGGAAGCAACGTCTTTACACTCTGTGACCATGTTTTCTCTGAAGCCTTAGTTGCCTGGTGAGATGTGTGCTAAAACAGCCTCTCAGATAGTTTTCTGTTGTCTGCTGATTGGATAGCATCATAATAACAGATAATCTATCTTTAAGAAGGGCAAGAAGGAGGATTTGGGGAACTACAGGTCGGTCAGCCTCACCTCAGTCCCTGGAAAGGTGATGGAGCAGCTAATCCTGGATACTATTTCCAGAAATGTGAATGACAGGAAGGTGATTTGGAGAAGTCAGCATGGATTTACAAAGAGGAAGTCATGCTTAATCAACCTGATAGCCGTCTGTGATGAGATGACTGGCTTGGTGGATGAGGGAAGAGCCATGGATGTTGTTTACCATGACTTTAGTAAGGTTTTTGACGTTATATCCTATAATATTCTCATAGACAAGCTAATAATGTGGGGGCTATAGATAAGCGGTCAGTGAAATCAATTAAAAACGGTTGAAATTCCAGGCTCAGAGGGTTGTGGTCAGCAGCACGAGGTCCAGCTGGAGGCAAGTCACTAATGGTATCCCCCAGGGGTCGATACTGGGGCAAATACTTTTTAACATCCCTCATATGACTTGGATTATGGGACAGAATGCACTCTCAGCAAGTTCACAGATAATACAAAACTGAGAGGAATAGGCACTCCAGATGGTTGTGCTGCCATTCAGAGGGACCTTGACAGGCTGGAAAAGTGGGCTGATAGGGATTTCATGAAATTCAACACGGGGAAGAGCAAAGTCCAGCTCCTAGGGAGGAATAACCCCATGCGTCAGTACAGGCTGGGGGCTGACCTGCTGGAAAGGAACTGCAGAGAAGGATGTGGGGGTCCTGGTTGGCAACAAGTTGACCAGCAATGTGCCCTCAGAGCAAAGAAGGACATCAGTGTCCTGGGTTGCACTAAGAAGAGCATTACCTGCAGGTCAAGAGAGGTGATCTTTCCCCTCTGTTCAGCCATGGTGAGGCCATATCTGGTCTACCGTGTCTTGGGCTCCCCAGTACGAGAGAGACATGGACATACTGGAGTGGGTCCAGTGAAGGCCTACTAAGATAATTAAGAGGCTAGAGCATCTCTCATATGAGAAGAGGCTGAGAGAACTGGGACTGTTCGCCTGGAGAAGAGAAGACTGAGGGGGGGATCTTATCAATGTGTTTAAATACCTTATGCATATGTATTTATACACACAGAAAAGATGGAGGGTGGGGAAGAGGTGTGCAGAGAGGATGGGTTCAGAGTCCTCTCAGTACCAGTGACAGGATGAGAGGTAATGGGCACAAACTGAAACGCAGGAAATTCTACTTAAACATAAGGAAACGCTTCTTCAGAGGTTGCCCAGAGAGGTCGTGGAGTCTCCATTGTTGGAGATATTGAAAATCTGACTGGACAAGATCCAGGGCAACCTGCTGTAGGTGACCCTGCATGAGCAGGGGGGTTGGGCCAAATGATCTCCAGAGGTCCCTTCCACCCGCTACTCTTCTGTGATTTTTGTGCAACAACATTAAAGTTGTGGCCTCTATGTTTACTATGTTGTGGTCTCTGTATACTGTAATGTTAGTGTTTCATTTTTTCCAATGCTTAGTGTTGTAGGTTACCTTCACATTTGAAATGAAATGTTTAGATTCACTTGAGACTATTAAATTTGTTTTTCCTTGAAATTCTACAAATAAGATAGAAAATTACCAAAAATTTGTAATCAAAATATAGGTCCTGATGTCCTAAATTTCTTCTCTGTCCCTGGCCAGAGTATCACTTTTAGCTGTTTCAGGATTTTCAGAGGTTCCTAGGCAATGGAAAACTTTAGGGTAAGGACTGAAGCTGGCCTAATTCTTGATAATACAGACCTTAATTTCAATTTTTCTTTCTTAATGTATGAGTCAAACATACACCTGAATTAAAACAGATGTTACCACCTCTTCCTCTTCCTTCTCTGTATAATTCTGTCATTTATTTACTGTGCTGTAAGAAAGAACTACTATTTATGAATAGTAAACCCCAGAAACTCACGTTTTTCGCTTACCTACAGCATGGGAAGGCAATTATGTGAGCTTATTAACAATCTTACCTATATACTGACTGTTACCAAAAGAAGGAGTTCTCAGCAAAAAATTTGAAGCTGCAAAGATCCTTGAGACCATTTGGAAAGCTAGATCCCCTTTTGGATGTTTGGAAGTCTATAGTTATGAAACTGTAGGGCCTTTAATTGAATGCTGTGGCGTAAACCCAAAGGAGACGGCACATGAAGACTTCCGTTGTTCACATCAGCTCCCACTAAACCTTGTTCTCGGAATCGTATATTTCTCAGGAAATTTTTGTTCTAGCTGCCATTAAAACATGGCTGAAATTTATCCGTGTCAGATATTTTGCATCGATGTGATATCAGTGAGCACAACAGCAAAGGTTGGATGAGTGAAGAATAAACTTTAGAGATAACAGATTTAAGTGAAAGAAATGCAGTTCTCTGAGCCACAATTAACTGTCTCTCTGAAATACTAATGCTGGCAAGTGACAAAACTGCTCCAAAATAGACGAGCTTATAAAACAGTTTGGTAACTGTAGGTTAGTGTGATCTAGCGCTTTCGTTTGAGTTCAGAATTATTATCACACAGAAATCTGCAATGAGTTTGCCTGTGGTTTAGGAAAATTACATAATCTAATCTCTTTAAATAATCTGACCTTCAAATGTAAGCAATGCCTGAGCAATTGCAATGACTGAGCAGTTGTATATTCTGGACCTTTTAGGAAGTGTTTGAATTTGAACGGAGAGCTACAATTCTTACTTCCTTGGTAGGGATTTAGTAAAGTTTGTACTGCCAGAGCTTGTGATTCCCCTGGTATGTGTGGGTGGAAGCCAGGAGTGAAGTATTGATTGGTAATGCTTCAGCAGCTGTTACTTTCACAAACTCTACACACATCAGATAGATAATCAACCCATGTAATTTTGAAAATAGAGCAAGAAGATATCGCAACGTTTTTCTGTGAAAATGGCAGGTAAAATATATATTCCTTGTCAAAGATACCCCTTTTTAATATATGGGACATTAGTTTCAATAAGAAAAAACAGGCTATTGAGTGTACCTATGTCTTTCCTTATCTAAATTCATTTTAATCTCCCTGAGAAGACTAGTTAAACATTTTTCCTTATAAGTGCATTGGAAAAGGCAGTAACATACCAATCTGTCCATGGCAGCCTACTTATGTTGATGATGAATAGTGTTTGCTTTTATCTTCCTTGAATAATCACAATACCTGACATAGCTTCAGCTCAGAATAAAATGTGAGCATTCTTTTTTAACATCTTAGATAAATGCAGCTGTTTTAGTTTGCCCTATTCATCCAAATATTTCTGCATAGAGCAAAAGTAAATTATGAATTATGTGAACAATGGCAAAATATTTCAATTCTTTCGGGCAGTGCTGTCTCCTTCTTTTAGTCGTGATATAAATCAGATACATACAGTATCCTTCATTGGATACC